TCCAACACCTCACCGAACTTCTCCCAGGAATCAGCCTTGGCTTTTGCCGCTGCTATGGCTGCCGCCTTGCTTGCCTCGACATATCGCACGCGAGTAGAACGCTCTTTGTTTCCAAGCCATTTCTTGAACGCTGCTTTCTTCTTTATAACTGCCAGTTGCACCTCTCAATCCACCATGAAGATTTTTTCTGACCTCCGGGCGGCAGGTTAACCCGTTTAAATCCCCCGCATTCGGCGGCAGCCTCGAGTATGCCGTCCTTAAACAGCTGCCACTCGGTCTGCATGTCAATGGTCACCACAGGCATTTGTTCAAACCGCTGTGCAATGTTGTTTGCAATTTTCGCTGTCGTGTCCACAGAAGCTGATATTTCCCACATGATTCTCAGGCTGCTTTTGCCCAACAGATCTTCGTATAGTGCTCTATTTTCCATAGCGAAGCGTGCCAAGAATAAGGTGATGATCAGTTGATAACTTTTTTGAGCCTCTCTTAACGCGAATGTTCATTACTGAGCTCTTAAGTCAGACGATACGATTATCAAATCGATCATGGACTTCTGTGCACAAACTTCCTGATACCTTGTGTACTGATGCACGTTTCGATGCTAGAAGAAGGTGTTCATAATGAACAAACCGTTGTTTTCTCTGATCAGCGGAAACATCATGTCGTTAACGTTGAAGTCGCTATGACCGTATTTTCTAATCACACCGTTCCATTTGTCAGCGTCTACTCCGACATGCGCATTAAAATCGCCCATGAGGATGAGGGACTCCGTATTCGACACTTCGCACAGAACACACTGCACTTCGTCAAGGAAGGTCTCATAATCCGTTTCTCGCAGCGTAAGGTGCTGTGATGACCGATTGACGAAGTGATGATCACTTGGCAACTCTGCTCCTATCTTAACTCGAACATCTATTACAGAGGATGGTAAGTCAGACGATAGATTTATCAAATCGATCGTCCACTTCCATGCACAAGTTTCCTTGCACCCGATATATTGAAGCATGCTTCGATGCACAGAGGTGTTCGTAATGGACAATCCGTTGTTTGCACAAAACCGCAACAACTTAGTGCCGTTGTTATTGAGGTCGGTAGGGCAGTACTTTCCAGTCACGCGTTTCCACTTTTCAGCGTCTACTCGAACATAAATATTAAAATCGCCTATTATAATGAAGGATTCTGTAGTGGGCACTTCTCACAGGACAGTCTATTGTACATCAAGGTAGAACTCACATTCTTCCTCAAAATTATTCGCATATACCTGTAAAAGTCACTGCTTTGGTCTTTTGTAGCTTCAGTTGGAGAATTTCCACTCTTTAGCTGACAGGCTTCCATTCAGTGATTCCTTCAGTATTCCAACAACGGCCTGAGCGCGCACAGTGACATAGAATAGTTTCCATTCACACAGGTTTTGGATTCCAAAGCCTTGACGCTTTGTTGACGAAAATTCAACTATATCAACTTTGCGCCCTGCGGCTTCATCAGCTAGCTCGTTCTCTTTCCGTTTGAATGCGGATAGATTCCAATTTCAACCTGTAAGCTCCGACTGTAAGTATTGTTCCCACGGAGCCTTTACTGATACGCAACAATGCCATTGCGCTCTCCCGCTGATAGGCTAAATAATTACTACCCTTCCGCTGATAGGCTTCCAATCGATTATTCTATCTGCGAGGTTGGGTTCTACCAGAAAGCCAACACCGGCCTGAGCGCGAGTCGTGTTATCGACGCCTGAGTAGAACAGCTTCCATCCATTGAGGTTCAGGAGTCCATTGCCTGGGCGTTTTGTTGACGAGAGTCCAACAATGTCGAGTTGATACTTCGTGGCCTCATGAACTAATTCATGTTCTTTGTCTCTGAGTGAGGTTATGTTCCAACTTCCAACTTTAAGTTCCCACTGGTGGTGTCGTTTTCGTTGAGCCTTTTCTGACGTTCTGTAATGGCATCGCGCTCTCTGCCTCCTCCGTTCAGAACGGGCAGCGACTCCGTTGCTGACTGGTATCTTTGTCGTCGTTCCGACGATCATCTTGTAGTGCTACTATGCCATCGACCTGCAGAGGGCGATGAGGAGGTCCTGATCGCCGACTTTTCTCAGCCTGCCTCAGTCTCCGAATAGCATGCGTAGCCCTTGGTAACCCGGGCGACAACTGAGCCGGTATAATTTTTGATGACGAAAATACCATGAACTGCAGGTGGCTAAGTTTCGCTGAGATTTTGCCATGGTCTCAATCCCTTCGAATTTCGCATCCGCTCTTAGGACCAGCAACGGCGGAGTTAAGAAAACGAACCAACCACAGCCAAATTATGAAAATGATAATCACAGCAATTTATAGGTATAATATTTCTTTCATGCTTTACTTGTGACTCTTAATACAGTAAAAGTCCAGGTTGATTAATGCATAACACAAGAAAAAAATTTATGCATCTGATCAAAAGAATATAATAGATGCGATAGAATTATTTGTCTGATAACCAGTTAAAAAATCTGTTAATTATCCGCAATTCACTTGAGCAAGTATTCCCATAAATAATATCGAACTTCAGCAAAAACACAAATAAATGACAAACACGGCATGGAAACACTAGTAACAGCTTTACAAACCTCAATTCAGTTTATCCGGAACCAATCGAATTTCGTCAATTCGCCCAAAGCAATCTCACTAAACTAAAGAAATTTATTTTTTTTAAAATAATGTAATTGATCAATGCGAAAGAACTGAACTCGAATAAAGCTGCCCAAATACAAAAAACATCGAATAAATTAATATTGACATGTACATCTCCACTTTCACTACTCCTTGATTAAAGCATGTAAATAA